TGAGACTGCATAATTTAAAAGAAAAGAGGTTTCTTTGGCACACAGTTCTGCAGGCTGTACAGGAAGCATGACAGCATCTGCTTGTGGGGAAGCCTCAGGAGGATTCCAGTCATGGCAGAAAACCATGGTGAGAGCAGGAGCAAGGGTGAGAGGGGAGGTGCCACATACTTTCATTGCCAGATCTCGCAAGAAGCTCACTATTGCAGAGACAGCACCAAGGGGATAGTGCTGAACCCTTTGTGAGAAATCCACTTTTATGATCCAATCACTTTCCACCAGACCCCATCTCCAACACTGAGAATTACAATTTAATATGAGATTCAGTGGGGACAGAAATCTAAAGTATATAACCATTTCTTCCATAAAAAATGATAATTGAGAGGACTTTATTATTGGAATTTATAATAGGTACTATAAAAATAACATGAAATTCCAGGTAAATAGTGGGTATTTATTAATATCTGTTGAATGAATGAATGAATAAAAAATGTTTGATTCTACTTTATATCCTTATTTTTCATATTTTAACCCCATTTTAATTTATACATTATCTTTTGTGGAGAGGAAATAAAGAACCTGAGTTCGCAAGTTGTACAAAACTATTGAAATCTAAATACTCATGGAATTATAAGTGTCTTAATGAAATCTTTTCACTCATGTGGTTGTGTGTTTGCATTCTTTTTATAATTTAATTTCTGTTTTATTTGATTTTGTTTTCAACAAAAATCCAAACTGCCTTTATTTTGATAAGAAACCATAGTAACTTTGCTGGACCTTTTCCTAATATTTGTAAAGCTACACTAACATGAAAACTATACCTGTGTGTGGATGACTATATTCTTTATAAATCTTAGTATTTATTCATATTATTCAACTAAAATGTTAGCTTAATTCCTTTTTATGGGGGATATTTTTGTGTACTTCTTTCTCAGTGACACATTTAGTTGTAGACTGTAGTAACTTGCTGAAATATTTTTTAAAAAGATTTTTTAAAAAGTCATTCATCTAAGTGACTATTGACATATAATTTTTTATCTATCACTCATTAACCTTATATTTTTTAGCTGCAACAGAACTGACTCAAGATTGAGAACTATAGTAAAACCAGGTGAGCCCATCAGATGTATCTATCAGATATGTAGTGACCTATTATAAAGGAATGCCTGTCACTTCCTGCCTACGGTATCAATTTACCACGATGTTATTTTCATAGAAAATGTTATTTAACAGGTCTAAAAGAAGACTTTTTTATATTTTCTGAGTTAACTTGCTGACCTCTGTCACCAAATTTTCTAAAATATTGTATTTTTGATTGCCAAAGGCATGAGTGTATGCATGTGCATTTGTATGTGTAGAGAGAGAAAGAAAACTACCTTGTTTTACTTAGTGCATTTATGTGAAATACCTGTCTGAAAGATTGCACGAGACACCACCACCAGCAATACCACTTCACATCTATAAAAAGAGCAGCACTATTCAAAAGATTTTTTATTAGAACGTGTCTTTGGTTTTTCTTGCAAGAGTAGATTTCATCAGGTTTTAGAGCAGGAATGGACTCAGTCTTTCGTAGCAAAATATTGAGTGTCCAATTATTCCCCCAATTCATAAATAAATATTCTATTATTATAAAAATATTCCATTGTTATTATGGGCCCAGGGAAAGTGGGGATAAAGTCTACAGACACAGGTAAAGTTAGCATTAAAGGTAGAGGTGGGATCTTAAAATATTAATATTCCCATTAGTTGCTGGAGATTCCTTTACCAATTTTCCTCTGTGTTTAACTAAGACAAAATGAGGATGTGATTTGGAATAAAAAGTTATCTCGGACAAATCCAGACTCATGCAACGGCTAGGCCCTCATTGGCTCCCTGAGAAACAAAGGTAGGTGAGCCTGTAAGCTCCTCCTTGCTGCTGTTCCTAGGAACCTGGCATTCGTGGGCTTGCAGAACGCTGACACATTGTGAGTGAGTACATGGGCACATGTTTACAGGAATCTCTCATGTTATCTCTCAGACACAGATAAACTTGTCAGCCACTTACCAGGCATTGAAAACTGTTCCAGCCCCAAAATATCACCCCTATCAGCCCACCAGTCAGTCAGAAATTCTCTACAGTTGAGTCACCCCTTATCTAGGCCAAGTTCCTGTTAAATACCAATAGTTTTAATTAGGGGAGAAGTAACACATTAACCCATTAGTAAATCTCAGCTGTTTTCACAGCCAGCAGGACTTTCAAGGAAAAGGACAGATGGCAGAATGCATGATTCCAGATTGATGCAGATCATGAATATTGAGTGAAATGTGGCAAGAATGAACACCTTGCCATTTTGAGGATTCCCAAGATAAGGCTTTATCCTTGAGAGACAGGACTTGCAGTCACTACAGTGCCACATCTACTGTGATAAGAGCTGTAAGTCAGACATTAAAACATAAGGAAGTATCATCCACTAAGCTCAGAAAAATCACAATAAAAGTACACAAATAATAAAAGCACAGCAATCCATATAAAGTTTCAGTAAACGTTTGTCTAAATGAACAAGCATCCCTGTAGAAGTACTAATAATGGAACACAGAATTTCAAAGAGGGGTGAAAAAGTGTTTCTAGCTGTACTTGTCCCTAAAGACTTTAGGAAAATTAGGCAGTTGTAAAGGCTGGGTAAGATGTTGGCAGGTTCATATAAAGGAAGGCGGAAAGGGAGAACATGTCTGGTACACAGAACAGCATTAACCATGGCACAGGGCTGGGAAAATGGAACAGATACCAAAAAAACCTGCTTAGAGTTCACTTCCTTTATAGCACAAGAAACACAGGAAACACAGTGGAGCAAAAGAAAAAAGGGATAGCCCTGTTTTAAGGGAGAATACTTTGGACTGAGGCGCATGTGTTTAATGACAGAAATGCACTGAAGTTTTTATTGGAATTTTTAAAACAGAAAATGACATCATGGCTACCCAAGTTAAAAAATATCAATTCTGTGGAAGTCACATGCAAGATTAATGACAGGGAGAGACACCAGGGCCCATCAGATGTCCAGGATGGATATCCAGGACATGTAGCACATAATCTTTAGAAAAGTGACTAGGTTGTGAGGGCAAACAGGATGAAAAAGGGCCAGAACAATTTTTGAGTTTCAATTCTACAAAGCTGTCACATAGGGTAGTTTGCAGAATGGGTAAAAAGGGCAAAAGCGAAAACAATATAGTGTTTGTTCTCATTTGGCTCACAATTGACACATAAAGGAAAATGCTCTCCAGATACCCAGTGAAAGATTTTGGCAGGCAGTGGAAAATGTAGCTTTTGGATTCAGGAGGTCAGCAGGTATAAAGGACAATTTCTGTGTGGAATTTACAGGGAGGTCGGCAAGCGTTGACTAAGGAGCAGAATGGAGGATCTGGGTAAGCTGGGGAACATGTGGAGTGAGCGTGACCTCCAAGTTTACAGGACATATCTAAGAACAGGAGAAGAGATGAGAGACTTTGGGAATTACACATGTATGAGAATTAGCAGAATGCTCAAGTAGATGAGGGAGAAAATCACAGAGAAGGAAAATCTTAATAACGCAATGAATTGGAATCATTTAAAAATCACTAGGGCAATTCCTTACTGGCAAGCTAGGTCATTTTCTTGAAATGATATAATATGATGCTACAACCTTTACTTCCAGCTTCTCATTTATAAATAACCTTGAGAAGCTTAAAAATGAAAATGAAAATAAAGTTCATCTTCTACCTTAAAGGAAAATATCTGTGTTCAAGTGAAGCAGACTCTTGCTTTGACCCTTATTACGTGGAAGACGTGTGTCCTCTTGTGCACTAAACAGGTGTGGCTTCAGCAAGATTTCCTTCCTTCCTTCCTTCCTTCCTTTCTTTCTTTCTCTTCTTTTCTTTCTTTTCTTTTCTTTTCTTTTCTTTTCTTTTCTTTTCTTTCTTTTCTTCTTTCTTTCTTTCTTTCTTTCTTTCTTTCTTTCTTTGTCTTTTTCTTTCTTTCTTTCATTTCTTTCTTTCTTTCTCTTTTTTTAACAATGTAAAGAGGTTTTGTTTTTTTAAAATTGTGTATATGTCACATTAGGCAAAATTATTTAAAGTCAATCAATTTTTATTCGAGGAATTCCATGTTGTGATTTCTTCCACTGTCCATCAAAGCCACTTTAGCTCCTGTAAAGAACTGGTGTCAAAATTTATCTTCAAAAGATTTATCTTCAAGTTAGCTTTTTTTTTTATGAAATTGATGCTTATTTTAATCCAGTTGTCCTGTCAGCCCATAATTCTTTTATTTTGGTTTCTTTCATCTCCTTTTTCTATGGGTATACTGATGAAGAATTCAAAATACACCCATGGAAAAACCAAGAATCTTTGAGGTCTAATTTTTTCAACCAGTTTACTTTAGGGTCATTTTTAGTGTAGATGGATCTGCCTGGTTCTCAGTTTGACACCCTAAGCGACCATCACACTCAAGAATAGTACAGATGTGTGGGATATGGCAATACCTTTAACTCCAGACATTATGTTCTCAAGATAAAAGCTTTTAAAACAAAATGCCATCTTATGTATCAAGTCAATATGAAATTGAAATATAAAATAAATGCAGATGAGGATTTCCCTCATGTTCCATCCTTTTTAGCTATCTCTTCTATAGTTCTAGAATCAACCTTTTTAAATTAAAAGTCAGGGTATATCTTTGTTGCCCCGATTAGAGTACAGTAGTACTATCAAAACTGTGCAGCCACCAACTCCTGGGCTCAGTCCTCCTGCCTTAGCCTCCCTTTCCTGAGAGGCTGCAACTATAAGCACAAGCCCTTATATCCAGCTAATTTAAAAATTTTTATGGAGATAAGGTGTTACTTTCTTGCCCAGGCTGGTCTTGAACTCCCGGCTTCAGTCAATCCTCCCACCTCAGTCTCCCAAAGTGTGGGGATTGCAAGCATCAGCCACTGAGTCTGGCCTGGAATCAACCTCTGTGATTATCAGTACTCCTATCAGTTAACTGTCTCAGGTATCATAATATTCCTTCTTATACATATCAAAAATCATGCTGAACAATGCGTTCTGGGTTGCAAAAAAGGATTTGTTTTTTGCACCTATCCATAAGTCTTTGTCCACACATTAAACTAAAACATACTTAAGTACAGTCATCAGGGTTTTCTGGACCTCTAAACTCCAAACATCATCTTTGCCTGTGTGACCAAGAAAATTCTAGCTGGACTGTTTAGCAGCTACAGAGAATGACAACCAGCAAAGCAACTCAAAAGATAAAAAGGAATGCTGGAATTGACTCCTATTAATTACTCCTGTTACCCAATGGCAGTCAGTGATTGTTTACTCCTGTTTCTCAGTTTTTCACATGCTTTCTGATTATAATAAATTTGTGAATCAGCAGGGGAAGAATGTAGTATGAGGAACTTAGGTATTCCTGTGATTCTTGCGGAAAATAAAAGAACTGATAAGTGGAAGAAAATTAGTCTGTGTAATGGATTTTGTGGCCTTTGAAATTATTTTTAAAATTCATAATGTGTTTTGTTTCTTTCATTTTATTTTTCTAAAGATTTACTCATTAAATATTTAATCAAATTAAATAACTAATATACTAAATAGCATATAGGCTGTGTAGAATGCTCTGGAAAAAAGAAAAACAAAGATAAAGAATGCATGAACTCTGCCCTCAGGATGCTCCTGGTCTCCTAAGAACAACATATACAAGAATAACTACATGCAAAGTAAAATATTGTCAAGAGCAACTTTCATTTCTTACAGAGTAACTGATATCATCGAATGACCTTTCCACCATAAACAACTATAAAAATGAAACACAAGCACTATAGGGCTGTGATACTTAAAAGAACGAAAACACATACAGTGAGTTTCCTTATGGCTCTAGCTTTTTGCCTGGAGGCACTTTCTAGAAATGATGCTGAGATGTGCTGGCCAAGCAGAGAAGAGTGATCTCACTGAGATGTGTAGTCAGAAATTAAGAGTTCAAGGCTGCCAGACAGTCTGCATGTACAGGAAAAGGAAAAGCACAGGAAGAAGTGGTGGTGAGAAGCAGCCAATGGAAATGTACATAGTTTTCTCCTTAAGTTCTTGGAGGAATACCAAGCAGCACACAGAGACCTCACTGAAAAACCAGGCATTTACCTGAGACCTCAGAGTGCAGTAGAAGTGAATCTACTTTAGACCTGTAAGACTGACTTTACATCCACCTTTACAAAGCTTTTACAGACCATTGGAAAATGAAGCAAAACTGTTAGTAAACTGTCTACTCATAAAAAAACTGTCACTCATAAAAAAAAATTTTGGCTTTTGATAAAGTGATAATTCACAATATCCACCATAATTCTCATTTTAATTACCAGATATAAAAAATTGTGACCAATTACTAATAAATTTTCAAAGTCATTAATTATAGACCCAGAGATGACAAAGGTGTTGGAATTAGCAGACAAATATAAAGGAAATACTTAGCATAATGAGTGAACAGATGGGGAATCTCAGTACAAAAATGGTAATTGTAACAAATGTTTCCATGGAAATTCCAGAACTTAAAACCTAAAATATCTAAAATTAGTTAATCACTTAACTAATTAGTAAATTGGATACTGTGGCAACTATCAGAAAATCTGAGGAAATTGCAGTAAGAAATAATAAAAATGAAGCACATATAATAAAAATGAAGCCCATATAATAAAAATGCTGAAATGTTAAATAATGACAGTTTTAAAGATAATGGGGCAATATCAAATACTCTCACATACATGTAATTGGAATCCTAGGAAGAAAGGAGAAAGAAATTGGGATAGAAAACATATATGAAGAAATAGCGCCAAATTTTCCGAAAATAACTCTTAGATCCTAAGCATTTGATAAATTACAAGCAGATTAAACATATATACAACAACAACAAAAAACAAAAAAGAACTATCATGGACATATCTCTGAAAAAAAAAATAAGAAGCAAATCTTTTTTTTTTTTTTTCTTTTTTGTGAGACAGAATCTTACTCTGTCACCCAGGTTAGAGTTCAGTGGCATAATCTTGGGTCACTGCAGCCTCCACCTATTGAATTCAAGTGATTCTTGTGCCTCAGCCTTCCAAGTAGATGAGATTACAGGCATGATCCACTATGCCCAGCCAAATTTTTTTTTTTTTTTTTTTTTGTATTTTTAGTAGAACTGGGCTTTTGCCATTTTGGCCAGGCTGCTCTCAAACTACTGGCCTCAAATGATCTGTCCATCTCAGCCTCCCAAAATGCTGGGATTAGAGACCTGAACCACTGCTCCTGGTCTGAGAAAACCTTAAAAAGCAACAAAACACTAAGTAGAGTACACCACGAATAGAAGGAAAACATAAGTAAGAAATATTGTATGTCTTACAAAAAAGACAATGCAAGCCAGAAGATATTGAAATTCTATCTGAAAAGTACTGAAAGAAAAGATAACATGTCAATCTAGAATTCTATAACCAGTGAACATTTTTTAAAAATAATGTTGAAATAAAGACATTTTAAAATAAAGAAAAGAGGATTTCAGCACCACAAACTTGCACTGAAATAAATGTCAAATAAGGTTCTACAGACTAAAGGAGAAAAATGTCGAATGGAAATTTGGATTACACTTCAAAATAAAAGCCATGGAAGTAGGAAATACACTGGCAAAAATAAAGATTTTTTTAACTTGTTTTAAAAAATTGAAACTCAAAACAAAACAATGGCAATATATGGTAAGGTATATGCAAAATGAAATAAAATATATGACAACAGTGAATAAAGGATGAGGAGCAGTGAAAGTATGTTGTTATAGATCTTTCACCTAATATATGAAGTGGTATGTAATGTTACTCTTTTGATAGAGATTGTGATATGGTCTCAGTTTGCATGCTGCATACCATAGACCCACCTCTAAAACTAAATCAAAAGTGTATTGTTAATGAGACAATAATCAAGGTAAAACAGAATGCACACACACACACACACACACACACACACACACCCCACTTATTAATCCAAAAGAAGCAAGGAAAAAAGCAAAGGAAAGCAAAGAATAGATGGGCCAAATAGTAGGAGAAATGACAGGATGTATACCCTTTACATCAATAATTGCTTTAAATGCAAATGGATGAAACACTCCAATTTAAAGTTTAAATTGTCCGTCTAGAAATCACACATACAAGATTCACTGTATGCTTTCAACAGGAGATTTCTTTTAAATATAGGAACACAACTAGGTTAAAAGCACAATGTTGGGAAAAGATATATCATGCAAATGTTAATCATGAAACAGCTGGAGTTGGTAGACAGTGGATGCTTCAAAGCATGGAGTATCAACTGAGATAAAGGACATTGCATTATCATAGAAAGTTCAATTCTCCAAGGAGACATATATGCCCACCTTATAAAAGAAACTCAAGATACATAAAACAAAAACTGAGATAATTAAAGGATAAAAAAACAAATCTGCAATTATGTTTGGAAATATTAACTCTTCTGTTTCAATTATTAATAGAAGCGGTAAACCAAAAGTAAAATACAAAATAGTAAGGATAGAGAAGATCTGATCAACACTCTTAGTACACTTGACCTAATGTACATTTGTATAACAGTTCATCAACCAGCAGCAGAATACACATGCTCTTCAGGTACACATGGAATATTTCAAAAGATGCAGCACATGATGACACATAAGCTAAGTCTCATTAAGACGACTGACATGACACAGAGTGTATTTTCCAAATGCAACAGAAGTAAAGCAGAAACTAAAAGCAGAAAAATATCTGTAGATTCCCCCAGATATGTGAAACTCAAAAATCACATTTCTAAGCAACCCAGAGGGCAAAGAGGAGATCATAGGGGAAATTAGAAATGTATTTAAACCAATGAAAATGAAGACATAGCCTATCAAAATGTGTGAGATTCATTCTTACCCTCTCCAAGACTGTCAAATTAAGAAATGCTATCACAGCAATAATCCAAACCAGCATGCTGTTAGGAAAATATCATCTAAAGGTAAAGCCAAGGGCCTTGTAAAATATTTTGTCAAGACTTCAAAAACTGTCAAGGAGCTACCTCAAAGAGAAAAGAAAATTCCTGTAAGGTTCTGATACATATGTCTCAAATATATTCTTTATTACACATTGGCACATCTAATAATCTTAAGGACATTGTCCCATAGCTGTTTTATAGGAATCCCTATATAAAAAATGGCTAGTATTAAGATGGATGGGAAGGGCTTTTATGTAAAGAAATCAAGTACAATGAGATTCACAAGAATCCCACACGATTTTTAAGAGAGCAGTACTAGCAAAGCTGCCACCAGTTTCGAAAGGAAAAAGACAGGATAAAATAAAAAAAGATTGCCTGGTGTGATGGCTCATACCTGTAATCCCGGCCCTTTGGGAGGCTGAGGTGGGTGCATCATGAGGTCAGTAGTTCAAGACCAGCCTGACAAATATGGTGAAACCCCATCTCTACTAAAAATATAAAAATTAGCCGGGCATTGTGGTGCATGCCTGTAGTCCCAGCTACTGGGGAGACTGAGGTAGGAAAATTGCTTAAACCCAGTAGGTGGAGGTTGCTGTGAGCCAAGATCATGCCACTGCACTCCAGCCTGGGTGACAGAACAAGACTCCATCTCAAAAACAAAACAAAAAAAAGAAAGTGTTTATGAGATCCTCAGAAAACTACTTAGCTATAAACATCAGCTAGATGACACACAGGAAGGAACCAAGAATCCAGAGGGCGGATCTGAGAGCAATAGGGACTTTTTCTAACTAAGCTCTAACCAAGGAACTGCCAGCATGTGCCTGCATACCTTTCAGAATTGCTATGGACCAATGAGTTTGAAGTGTCTCTTGGTTCCTTCCTCTTCAAATAGGACACCTACACTGGTTATGCTCTGCTAATCTTACACTTGTACATTGAGTTCCTGATAATCAGGTAATGTTTTCAGCTCATAAATCTTTTGATTGGAGAAGCTGTATTTGTGGAAACTCACCTGCAAGGTGAGTTTATCTGCACCCGGACATTATTTTAGATAATGAAATCCCTAAATGTGAACTTGATAAATTGGTAATCATCAATATTGAAACTTGCACTTATCAAAAATCACTGCTTAGAACAGGTGTCGCCAGTCCTTAAATT